CAAAACAGGAAAGAGCAAGAGTCTGCTCTTCACTTCAGTTATATTCCTATATGCAATCTTGCAGGCATTCTGTAAAGATTCCCCTTTTGAGTCTGTATTTAGCTGTAAATATAATGTAAACACTGTTGGGAGCATAAAGACTATTCAGGGGCAGGAGTTGCAGCTCCATCAGCCTGAGGATGCTCTGCAATGACTGCATTGTACGTGCATCAATTCTGCAGTAGCCTATATCTTAAAAAAAGAAGTCAGCCTGAAGCCTACACTTTTATCAATGATAAAATCTTCATCACGCTATCCAGTCTCACTGAAGACTTCTCGTCTCTGCTCAATGTTGCGCCTCCTCTGGGCTTTACTTCTGCGTCCATAGGTCCTGCCGCATGGGCTGACAGTGGTGTAGCAAGAGAACAGCGTGTGCGGCTCTTTCTCTGCGGACTGTTCTCTGCCTAATCCACTTTGCTCCGCAGCACGGAAACCACCCCGCTGCCCACTTGAGAGCTACGAACGCCACGAAGCTCAGGTCAGTAAACAAAAATGTTTTGTCACACTTTTATATCAACAGAGCATGACTTACTGCAGGGATGAGAGCCAGGGCCAGGCGGATTCCTTCACACCCGTGTCAGAGCAAGGAGCAGGCGGCAGTCGCGGGGAGCCGTGCTGCACCCTGCCAGGGGATCACAGCTGAAATCCCGCTGGGAAGCACAGGAACCAGCAGACGTGGGGCCTGCCCAGCGTGTGCCGGGCTGACGGCTCGCCTGCAACCCACGAGCTCTGCAGTCTGATCTCCTGACCTTGAGAGCTGGGGCACCTGGGAAGAGTTTTAGGACACTCTTCTCTTCCCTGGGCCTGTAAAGAGGTGGCATCTTCGCCCCTCTCTGAGAGCAGCCTTGTCAGAGGCAGGCAGTGCTCCCCCGGGCACCCCCCAGGAACGGGCTCCATGGCAGCACCCCAGGCTCCAGGCCAAGCTCTCAGACCAACACAGACACTGAGCACACCAGCGGCGTTCTCAGGTCTGCAGCCGATGAGCAAAGCCACTGCTCAGGACAACAGGGCGGTCTACGGGCAGTCACAGAATACTTCTACAATACACAGCAGCCGTGTGAGATTATTAGAGGAATGTGCTTGTATTTTCTTTTAAAACTATGTGATGTATTGCCAGAGGCAGAGCGTAGATGCTGAGGATTGGGGAGGAGCGCTCTGGCTCTCAAAGTGCTGCCATTAGCAGTTGTACAAGGGCAGCTGTAACCTCATGCGAGGACACAAGCATTCATCATCTCTTGTTCTGCCAGCCCTTACTCACTCTCTTGTTCACCGTTTCAGCAGCATCCTAGCACAAGCAGCAGTGAGGAAAGCTCTTTCACGTACATTTATTTCCACATCTTGGCAGCACCTTTATGCTCTCTCTCATCTGATCTAGTAAGGAACAAAGGAGCTTCACGTGTGAGGAGCAACAAGACCAGTAACCACCGTGGAGATACTAGAAAGCAAGGATTCTGTGCTTAGTTCCGGGACAAATGCAGCAAGAGAAACTGCTCTGACCGACCCACATACTAACATGCTCAGCCAAGAAACGTGTGTGACCATATGCGCTGGGAAGCCCATTCATTTTGAATCAAAATAGGAGATTCATTAAATGGAGTTATCCTGATTCTTCTCAGCCTGGGAAACAGCATAAAACTTACTCAACCTGACATGGGGAAAGAACAGATGAACCAGGGACCACACACCTTATTTGGGGACTTAACATTTTCAGAATTTACCTCTCCCAAAAGTCCTGGGGGTCCTGGCTCTTTTGCTCCCAGCCCTGCAAAAGCATCCTCTTAACAACTTACCATAAATACCCTGAAATTATTTTTCAGGACCATCAGCAAAGACTTTGTTTGTCCATAAAGGGAGAAAAGTCATTCTGAGGAAGGGACTCCTGAGCTTTCCAAGAAGTTATGACAAAGTGAGTTATTCATTGCGTTGCCTGCAACACTGCACAAAGCTTTCTCAAATCTTCCAAACACGATTGTTTCAGGCGTCATGCTAAAAATGGGTTAGGAAAGATGTAACTGCAGTGAAGCCCATACAAACACACTATGGCCAATAAATTAGACTAGCACTGCTTGCAGGCATCAGGCTTTGCTGATTCTCATTCTCTGGTTAAATCAGGCTCAGGGCCCTCACTCTGCCTAAGACGTTAAGGAGAAAGTAAAACACCTCTCCTTCAGGTCTGGAAAATGGTAAAAACTTTTAAAAGAAACATGTATTTGACTAAGTTGATATTGAGAATGCAGACACACTGAGGTAGTGAAAAACTAGTAAGGTAAAATACCAATTCTGCTGAAGGCTGTACCTTTCAAAAGAAAATGAGACCTCTGCCATATTTCGCCACTGAAACAACAGAAAGGTTGCATTATTTAGGAGAATTCATAAAGTAAGGTTACTTTTGCACTGTTAAATATAGGAAGAGACAGTATGTTAAAATACAACAAACTAGGAAAAAAACCTAGATTCACTTTAGAAGGTACATCAAGGTCTCGGAATAACTGATTTGCTATTGTCTAAGTTAATAATTGTTTAACTATTCTAAGTCTTCTCCGTATATACTTTTTAAAAAGTTTAATCTAAAAAAAATCCACTTGCCTTTATCTATACACTTAAGAACTCTCAACTTTCGGAGTAGGAAACAAAACAAACCAAGTCTCTTTACTTAAAATTTCCAATGGAAGAAGTACAAAAAAGGAGCTATCAGAAAGCTGAGCTCTCCCTGGACATTTTCAGCAAATAGTTACAGAAAGGAGCTGTAACTTAAAAACAGATGGAAGAGGTGGTTGGAATTGCTGGGTTGCAGCAGACACCCTACCCTTTGGCTACTCGCCGGTAGCTGGCTGTTCAACCAACACGGCTCCACCTCTGGGTTACATTAACTGGACTCAAAGTAGTTGTCCCAAGAGAGCTCAACTACACTTCACTGAAGATAAGGCACTCTTGTGGCTCGTCAGCTTCTCAAAGATCATTACTCCAACATAAGTGTTGATTGATTAAACGGGATAGAACTAACATTAAGTATTTTAGGGGCACACCCTTTACTTTTAAATCTGACTCTTAACCTATGTGTCCAGAAGGTACACGGCTCTCGATGATTAACTACAAGCTTTATTCCAGTTTATTAAAATACACCTTTAATTTATTCTAACATCTAAGGGAGCTTTGTTACATTTGTAACAATGTAACAATGAGCCCAGTATTTTTAATTTATGAAGCTCAGATTTTACTACTACAGTAGTTTTAAAAGAAACGTATACCTATAATTAAGTGCATAAGTCTTTCAAATAAAGACTTCTGAATTAAACTAATTCCTTATGTATAATAAAGTCTTTTAGATAGTTAAATCAAAACTTTAACAGATATTGCAGTAAAAAGAATGAGACACTTTCAGTTGCTTTAGCAAGCACTGTTGAGAACAGTGACAATGTGTATTACACTTCTGTAGATTTCTAACCCATACAAATATTCATTTAGAACAAGAACAATTAATAATTTTACCAAATATTTACAAACTTTAGTAATTCACTCAGGTGAGGTCAAACATAATAGATAATGGTTAATTTTAAAAAACAAACACCAGACACAAGATGACATTCAAACTGGTATATTCTGAGTCCATTAATGTAAACGTCAGTTCAAGACACATCTGGTCAGAAGTCTGGGGTACCTAGCACAACGTGGCAATAGATTTAGACATACTAAACTGTACCCACTTTGCTCCAGAGAGGTAGGGCAGCACATTTCCTTTCCTATCATTCGCCTGTTCTCAGTTTTTAGACAACAGCTTCACAGATTGAACTGCAACAGATTTTAACCCCTTCCATCATACTCGCTGGACTGATTACCTTCCCAGATTACATCTCACCGAAGCCCTTGCTAAGGAAGGAAGCTACTACTCTTTTTAAAGTGTGTAGACATCATTCTTCTTGTCTATAATACTGTTTAGAAACAGCTGTTGATTATGGTTTTGATCAAATAGATTTGACAACTTCTGTACTCCGTACTGATGGTGGGAGTTGCTAAATTTTATTTCATTTGACTGAAAGCACCATTATTCACCTGGGTATCTACTCAACATCTCTGTTCAACACATGCATATGTTAAGGTCTCCTTAATGTAGGGGCAGCACCCAACTTCATTTACACGTTGTCTGGGACAGTTTAAAACACAGTGCATAAATAAGATTGAGCATGAGAAACTGGCAGAATGACGGAGGCACTGCTGAAGATGCTGGATTATAAAGCAGTCAGAAGAAACTCAAACAGTAGCCTTGCAAGAGAATGACAGTGGGACCTGGCAGTTACCATTGCACAAGAAATAGGATGGGCAGTTTTACGTATAAAAGCAGCTGCAAAATCTGTGAAGCCTGGAGTGGAACATGGACCTGAAAGGTGTTAACTTGAATGAGAGGCTCAGGCATAACAAGAGACTGGGAGATAGACAGGATGCAAGGAAATGTAGAGAACAGTGCCAGAGTTGCTCCAGAACAGCCCGTTTAGAACAATGACTAAACAATTCACTGCAATGAAAACATCAACCAACTGCTCCTTTTATTTAACACACTATTTCAAAACAAAGTTAACATCACTTTCTAGAAATACATTTGCTGTGATACAACAGTAGGTAAAAAAATAGATAATACTTTAATTACAAAATCTCACAAGGTAATTAGATGCTAACATGATGTCCAGTACACAGTATGTACAATTATGCCCAAAAAAATGGTAATTTCATAGCTTCCTGTTGGCTCTGATGCAAAGTGAGGAAATAAATTGTGATAAACAGTTTCCTTGGTTACTTTCCCAGGTGGAAACCAGTGACTTCAATTACAGATAAAATGACACTACAACTAAAGTACAGTAGTAGATCTCAGCACTATCTTAAAAACCTTCCATGCAGGCAAAAGGATCAGAATAAGTTTAGATGTAATACCATGGACTGGGTTTTAACACTGTTATTTTTAGGCCTTTTTACTTCCTTAGGCCTGGGTTGAATTTTGGCTTTTTACAAAGTTTTTTATTAAAAAGCTTGTGTTCTATCAGACACACTTCATCATGGATATAAGAGGGCTGTATCCTCAGAAGAAAGGAGAATAACCTTAATACAAAATGGTAACTCTGGGGAAAGTCCACTTCTTTGTAATGAGCCGGATGACCACACAATCTGAAAAGAAAGGGGAGAAAAAAAAGCCCTAAAATACGAGTGTATTTAGTCAGTATTTAGCTAGCATTTATATATTTAATTGTAATTAGAGGAAAATTCTACATTTTATCAACAACATAAATCACAATTCTGGTCTACAATGTCGATTCTGTGATGGGATCCACTCCTGCAAAACCCTGAAGTAGAGGACTGGACCAAGACAGAGTCTTGTCAGTTCAGAGATGGTGCAGATGTGGTGAGAAGAAAAAGCGTACGCACGTGTGTGTGGACTAGACTGAACCAGTGTTCGTTCTGCTAGCCTTTGTCAGATGTAGCAGAGTGTGAAAATGGCTACACCTTAACCAATTTTTAGAATTTCTGAGACTATCCAACGCAGACACTCCAGGCTCTTTTCTCTATTCTTTGCCCACACTCTCCACAGGGTCCCATCTTCTCTTCCTGACACTATACCATGGGATTATAACCCATCCATTTCTTGTCCATTGCCTTTATGGGCTAAATATAAATGATAATATAATATAAAATCTGTCTAGAGACAAGCGAGAAAAGCTAAGTTCAAGTCAATGGAGTAACATGGGAAACAGTGAGGCAAACATTGACCAGGTTGACAGAAAGTAATTAGTGCTGCAGTAGCCTTCTGTTTAACTATTTTGTAGCTTTCAGTAAAATTGTTAATGAAAATGATGAGTGATTTTATTGATGAAATATATAATAAAATAGCAGACCAGGCTTGCTGGTAACAAGTCAGACTGAACAAATGACAGCACAGAGGACAAACTACAAAGATAGCTCCGTAAACATTAAGTTCAGCAATTTAGGTTGGAAAAATACCCTGTTCTGGGTTAGCCTCAAGATTTGTTTTTTATTAAAAGTAGTTAAGTTTAAAATAGTATAAAATCCATCTGTTTCAATTAAAAAACCAATCTTTTACATTGATATGGGGATTTAGGTGCTGTTCACCATATAAGCCCTATGCATCTTCTAGCTGACTAGGTACTGCCCTGGGATGTGGAGAAGCAGAGTTTAAAATTTCCCCTCTTGCCTGATTCAGAGCAGCGGTCTTCAATATTCACCAGAACAAGGACTGGAACTTGTCTGTCCCAATTTATGGGCAAGTGTACTAATTACTAGACTATGGAGTCATTTGCTCGCTCCCTCTGGCCTAACAAACATTTACATTTTACCTCAAACTAGGGGAGCAGACAGACCCATCCTGGAGTGCCAGGCAAGCCGCACTTCAGGAAGCGGAGTCTTTGTTTAAAGCCTCCCAAAGTCTGGCAGATTGGAAATCTGAAACTAGGTCTCTGGCACTGGAGGTCCCATCCTCTGCCCTACCTCACGTTCTCTAAAAGCTGCCAGCGACCTCTTACAAAAACTCAATTAAATCAGACATTTCAGCAGCGCCCGAACAAATTAGCTGAGCCCACCACCCAATGTATTTGCTAAATCTGAGCTTCATTGAGAAATGTTGTTGGTTGAACCAAATCTGCTTTTTTTTTTGGCTAATATGAATTGCGACATTTTGCTAGTCTTAACTCTGAGATTCAGCAAGTACAGCTCTTATGGCAACTTCAGTATCAAATCTCCGTTTTCACGGAGGGGGCAGGGGAGTGATATTGTATATTCTGAAGCAAATGCGTAATTACATCAATACCGTAAAGCACCTATTTGATTAACTGGAGTTACACTTTTCACAAGAGTACCTAAACACACAGACATTTTTGCCTCGTTTCGTGCTATTTACCCTGACAGCATCTCTGAAGAGCTAAAAAACCTCAAGTGATTTTAAATTTAGATGTAATAACGTAAATCCATTTTTCTCAACATTTTGCACATATTGTAATACCTCATCATATGTAATCTAAAGACTTCTACACCAAATGAGTTTAGAATCCAGTTTAAAATTTAAAGTTTTAAAACAAAAGAAAATGTAAAAGCATTTTACCAACCACGATTTGACCAATCTCAGCTTTGCCCACACTGAAATAATACCTTAGTCCTAGGATTAAAGCATTTCAGTAGTCCCAGTTAGACCATGATGATTTTAAGAGAAAGAGAATTTGTAAGTTTGTTTTTAGTTCTATTATACATACACACACTTGCATAGGATAAAACCTCTTATCTGAAGGAGTAGATGATGTTTTCCAAAGTTAAATAAGTGTCAGATGTATAATTAACTACTTGCATTGCAAATGATATAATGGGAAATTTAACCGGTAAGAATTTTAATTCAAATCTTGTTTCATGAAGGCTATGACAGTTGGCCATTAACATTTTAATATATTACATATGAAAATGTAGGCTTAAAACCAGACTTTGCATGAAAGATTATTCACACAAACATAGACCGAAATACCCACTCATTCAGAGTGTACGTAAGATTTACGAAAATTTGTGGTAAAAGGACTATTGCCTCTCCTCCCTTCAAAAAAAAAAAAAAAGCTTCTTATTCATAGAAAAGAATGAATCCATACAACTAAAGCTCTTGTAATATAACACTGTGTTTACATTATTCCAACCCATTTCTGTCACGGTGGATATGTGAAAGGTAATGTGAAAAAGAAAATAAAGATAAGCAAATAAACCCACTGAAAGACAGGGCCAGTTATTTTCAAGGGGAATATCTAATGCTTTAAAAATCAGGAATGTATCTCTAAGATATTGTAGGGGCTGTTGCTCTCTTAAGTATGCCATTTAGAAGTTTATAACAGATAAAGGTTTAAGATGTTATTCAATGCGCTAATGAAATCTCATTTCACATTAACATATCCCAACCTCTTTTCCAAAAAACACCCTCCAATTGCACACACGAGAAATTCAGGAGAATTCAATCCATCTGCAAACTTCATCTTTTCCGCCGATACCCACCGGTACATTCATTTTCTAGATTAGGATTTCATGATACAACCAATGGCAGAACCAAAATCTGGTGTATGAACCAGAAACATTACCTATACCACCAAGGGAGTTTGTGAGAAACACTATTTTAGATATTTTTGATTCCTTGGAGTAAGTCTTGCCAAACTCCTACACTCCCTCAGCGGGACTTTTGCTCTCTGTCTCTGGCCATGGTTCTCTGCCAGCACCCACCAAATAGCAAACTCACCAAGTTTTGCAGAATTTGGTGCAAGAGGAGACATTAAAGGAAGCGTGAGAAGATCAATACAAACCAGGCAGGTACTGAAATACCTCTATAACTTTGTTCAAGGCTGGATTAGGCGGGCTATCATTCTTGTTGCTACTCAGGTCCTTTAAAGAAATTAATTTTACTAACAAACAGCATGACTGTTTTGATACACCCTTAACTGAAAAAAAAATTCTGTCACTCGTGAAGTCAGGACCTGGGAACAGTTCTCTAGTAAAGACATACACTAAACTTCCCTAATAGCACAAAATGTTTTCGTTTCCTGTATTTCTTCTTTTACTTTTCCAGTAAAAGAAATTGCTTCTTTTACTTTTCTTCTTGCAAAAAATACAACTGTTGATTGATGATATGCTTAGATGAAATAGTGAGTCCTTTTCACTCATAATTGGTTTTTTTAAAATATGTTCTGGAGGCATTAATTGCCTGCTTATTTGAACTCCAACTGCTAATTCTAACTTCAATTTTGATTAAGGCCACCACAAAAGAAGGACAGTGATTTAGAAAATTAATTTCCTATGGTTTTTGGGGGGACAGGGGAGAGAGGAATGGAACCGTTTTCCCATTCTCTGCAGAGCTGTGGTGCAATTTTTTTCTAAAATACTACAAAGAAGAAAGTGAATATTTGTGTCTAGCTGCTACTCTTGCCATGTGACTCTACTTGTTGATTTTGTCTCATCTCCTCTCTTCTCAAAAGCTCAGTTTGATCACTCTTCATATTACACTGTCTACTCCCAATCCAAGACTAACCATTCTGCACACGCCCCTTTCCATAAATGATTTTAACTATATGTGAATACATAGCTGTGTACACACCCCATATTTGTAATTTGTAAAAACATATATATGGCACTTTACTTTCAGGAGAACTTTCCAAAATGTATTTAACAAAAATTTGAATACTTACTTCTCATTACATAGTTTAACTGTACACAGCCAATAGTCAGGGTTCACGGCTGTAAGTACACCACATTTTTCTTGCAAAATTCCCTTCAGGCTATGCCCGTGAAAACAACTCCCATCTGCATTTTCTTCAGACCAACTTAACTGAAAACTTGCAGGATTTGGCTTTTCAGCAGGTCGCACTGAACCAGACAGCTTGCCAAACTGATTTTGTAAGTTCACAACCATTTCTGTACAAATAGAAACAAAACAAAAAACCAAGGCAAAAGTATTAGAATACTTTTAGAGGTGATTAATACAGGAAGAAAAAAAGGTATTCGTACCTTTTTTAAAAAAATATTTCTTTTTTTCTTTAAACCTCTGCCTGGAAGACTGAGACACCTTGAAGGCCTGTATGTTCTATCTCCCATTTCATTTAAAATTCAACTCCCTCACATGCT